ACGGGGGAGGGGGGGGTGGGAGAAATACCACCACCCGGGCTCACACCCCAGCCAAGGAGCCGTCTCTGTCTAAACGCGAACTGATCTCTCCGGAAAATCTGGCAGTAGCTTCGCATCGATTGGCCTCCACGGGGCCTGGTTTGTTTTGCAGCTAGACACACAAAGTGCAACTGGAGGGGGGGGGAATCCCCCAGACTCCCAACCCATCGCAATAAAACCATTAACCATAGAGGAGAGAGGATATGGGGCATTTCCTCTCTGGGTCAGCTGGTGGGGTTTTTTTGGAAGGGGGGTCGTTGGAGCATTTTTGTGACGCGTTCTGCACTAGGCTGGAATGTGTAGTGTGTGGGTAGCGTGTGTGTTGCCCTGGGAGCTGGGAAAGTCAGGGGGGGGCCTGAGTTCAGGTTACCAGCTAGAAGGATCCCAGGCGATCAACTGAGCCTGACTAGGGCTGTGAGCCCCTCCTCTTGACCTCAATCAGAAGGGTTAGGAAAGTAGCAGCCCTTAAGCCTCTCCCCCTCCCTGCAGATTATCCACTTCCCCAGAGCGCACCTGCTGAGATTTGGGGGGGGACGACACATATTTGTGGAGTGTGTCCACCCCACCCCGCCCACCAAATCCTAAATTCCTCCCCACTCTTCATTAAACAGCCAGTCTCCCCAATCTCTCTCTCTCTCTCGTTAATCTATCTCTTTTTACACTGGCTTGTTAGATTGCTGCGCCCTGCACTGATTACTTTAATGATGTCTCTTTGAGGAAAAGAGGGTAAATAGTCAGAAATGTTCCACGGAACTTGGAGTTCTCCAGCTGGAGAGAAGGACACCGCAGCTACTGATCATAATGGAAATCCCCAACCCTCCTTTGCAACGGGGCTTTTAAGATCCTTTGAGAAAATTGACAACCACGGACCGATTTCTCTGGGTCCCTGTGTTTGTAGCCCGGATTCCCCTCTGCTCGCCTCTGATTATTATTATTTTTTATTTTATTTTATTATTAAGATGCCTATTTGAACACACTTACTTAAATCTGTTTCAATTTCCCTACGTGTGAGATCCATTCATAAAAAGGGCTAAAATGTCCCGTCCCCCCCAATTAATCTATTTACCGGGGGGCTATTGGAGAGTTTTTCCTTTG